GGACAATATCAGCCCCTGTGAACTCTAATGGATGTAGGTCCACCTTAAATCGGTACCCTTGAATCCCCAACTCCACTGCCTTGCACCTCCCATCACAGGTGATTTGGTGGCTATTTGCCACGTTTACAGCAAGTTGGGAAACCGGTTCCACTGCTAACCCCAGTCGATCAGCCAACCGAGGAGTAATAAAGTTCAAGGAGCTCCCACTGTCAATCAAGACAACAACATTCTTTCCTGCTATCAGCCCTTTCACTTGCATGGTCCTGGGGGCCTGATAACCTGCCAAAGCCTGTAGTGATATGACGTAGTATTCCTCCTCCGGTACCACCTCCATCTTCTGTATACTCGGGTCTTTCGTCTGGGAATCCCAAAGCCTGTAGGGATATGACGTAGTATTCCTCCTCTGGTACCACCTCCATCTTCTGTATACCCGGGTCTTTCATCTGGGTATCCGGTTCCTCTTCCCCTTCTACTTGTAGTAGGAACATTTGTTGGGCCTTGCATTTGTGGCCAGGGATGAACTTTTCATCATAATTGTAGCAGAGACCTTTCTTTCTACGGGCTTGCATCTCGGTCCATGATAGTCTCCGGTATGGGAGGGTCATAGCTCTCAACTTCCTATTCGGTGGGGCTGGTAAGGGAACGGGTTTGTGGGGGGTGGTGGGGGTTGGTAGGAGAGGTCTCGGTTTTGGGTCAATCTTTGGGTAAGGTTCTTTCTGATTCAGGCCCGCCTGAGGCCCATTTGGCCTCCCCAACTTCTGTAATTGGTCCAACCTTTCTTCCTGGAGCTTGGCCAGGCCCATTGCCGCCATCAAGGTGGTCGGTTGCATGGTGTTCACTTAAATTCTTATTTCATCCCTTAAGCCGCCTATAAAGTAATCCACCGGGGCTGTCTCCGGTCAGTCATGAACCCAGGTGGCTAACCTTTCAAAGTCCTTCTGGTATTCTCTTACCGTACCAGTCTGCTTCACTTGGGAGAGTGATTCATTAAAGTTCTCATACCCGGAAGGCCCGAACCTCACACGCAATGCTTCAGTAAGGTCTAGCCATGTGGTCTAAGGGTGGGTTTTCCGGTACCACTGGTACCACATAATGGCTTCGCCATCCATGTGTATGGCAGCAATGGAGACCCTCTGATCTGTTGGGGTCTCATGGAAGTCGAAATAACGTTCAGCCCGGTAAATCTAGGGAATGGGATCATCACCTGAGTACATAGGAAAGTCGATCTTAGCAGCCTTGACTGGGTACGCTCCTCCTCGCCGTACGCTGTTGCTGCTCGATCCTTCCGCCTCTGGGGTTCTGGGTCTTGCCGAGATTCGCTCGAATTGGCCTACCAGAGCTGAGAGAGTCTCCTTGATTTCCCTCAACTCACTGGTGGTCTGGTGGACTTCCCCTTCTATACGATCAATATGTTCCTCCGCCGACATGGATCTGGTGGTTGGCATCGTGGCTAGGCTCTGATACCAACTGTTAAGACCCTACTCTATTTGAGTTGCCGATGAGAGGGGGAGGGAGGGAGGGAGGGAGAGAGCGAGGGAGCGAGCGAGCGAGAGAGAGAGAGAGAGAGAGAGAGAGAGAGA